ACTCCGAACTAATGAAACATATTCTTCGTGTAATTAAGATATTTATTTCATTTTCATTAAATTCATATAAAATGTGCGTTGAATTTTGAGCTATTATTGACTTGAATGTTTTTATATATTATGTGTAATATTGTGATAGTTCAAAAATGTGTGCATGAATGTAATTTTTGAAATTCCTTCGATTTTTGTCGATTTCTGTATCACCGTATGTGATCTATAGGTAAGAAAGGATCCTTATTATCACTTTGAATATTGAAAAAACATATTATATTGGCGACAGAAGATATTAACGTTGAACAGTTTGAAAATACTCTCAAAGACATCATACCATGGACTATCGTAAGTTTTTTCAGGTGGTTTCAGTCCTCCAAAAAAAAATTCAGCAATTCGTGGAAAAATTAATAAACTGACTGAGCTAACAAATAACGAGTTGAATTGATATATTAGAATTTGATATATGGTTGAACACAAAATGTTTATTTATCTTAAAACGAAGAGTTTACTCGTGTTCTGATGACACTTCGAATTGGTAGCGACAAACATTAGCTTCTGACTGCCTTTTTTTGTTCCAAATAACAACAGCATCAAAGGATTTCAGTCAACAGAATTATTATAGTGTATTCAAAATAGCTAACGACGTTCGTAATGGCCTAACGTCAACCGGAATACTTGAAAAACAGTAATACTGAGATCACTTGGCATCGTTATATACGCCTCCAGCCCATCCAGACAACGTCCAATGCCGAAATAGAGAAAACTGTAATGTGTATAATTTGTCTGAGGGTTTATTTATTGACGTTTCTGTAATGATGTGTTCCCAGCCGGCTTTGTACACTGCGTTTTATGACCCGGAATGACCAAAACGTGCTCATGATGCTGGTGGAAAATCAGTGGAATTCTGGTAACAGAAACTGAATGAAATATCGTGTGATTGGCTCTGGTGGACATAAAAGGAATATGTCCATTGTATTTTGTCAGTCGATAGATTTAGGAGTGATTTATCCAGCAATAACATCTATTTTCAAATTATCCAAACGCCAAACTAAGAAAGACCTGTCTCGAGGAGACAATTAAAGAGAGATTGATGAATTCATTCACAAACTATCACATTCAAATATAATAATGAATTTGAATTCATTCGTCCATTGAATGATTGATTAGTCAATTGATGTGAATGAATAAATATTAATCCAGTATAGTTTATACGGGTTACCAAACATTCCAAAGTGTGATAATTTTATATAAAAAAAGTGTTGATATTTATGAATACAAACTAGTTCGGCATCAGTATGAAGTTATCTTTCAATTACTTTATTATCAGAACCACCCAACGCAAAATTATAATAAAGATCTGAGTAAGAACTCAGAATGCAAAACCACTTGAAAAGGTGATCATTCAAAGCATTATATAATTATAAGCTGGGTAAGCTTATGATTGCTTTGAGTTTCACGCATCCTGATAATGAGTAGGTTGTCAAAAGAATTTACAAGTTGTTCGTTCATGTTTCGATCACTTTTGATGACTCTGGTCTGATATGAGTGAAGCGACATCATAAAAAAAGCTTTTCTATAATTAGAGTTTCATGCAATATACAAGTGAATTATTCAGAATACACAAGATAAAGAAACTTGCGGCTGCATATTGTTCTGATACCGATGCTGAGTAGTTTCTCTTTAAAATCCATGTGATGCCAGGTGAGGTGGATTTTGGAAAATAACTCAAAAGGTTCATTGATATACAATTGTTTCATACGTTTTCTTCATTTGGGAATATGATTAATCTGAAAAACATTAGAATATAATCGATCCAATACAAATCACTTGAAGTGGCTTGTGAAAAAATGTTTTACCAATTTTCTCCAGATTTGTTGTAGATAACACGTCTATTTTTATTGAAAACAGTTGGAATATTCGGAAAATGCATCATTTGATTGGACTTCATGATAGGTAGAACTGGAACTTCTAGCGAAAAATGAATCCGTTGAAACAATTTTCCTTTATTAATTATCTGTGTCACTGTTTGAGGTTAGATTTTCATTTTCAGTCGCATTTTTGCATTTGTTGCTTTTGCGCTGGAAGTTGTGTTTACTTTATTTATTATACGTGATTTTTTCTATCTAATTACTTTTTTGTTGTTGTCGCCATTCGATGTTGATCTATTCTTTAAGTAATACTATGAAAAATCAAATACTTTCATTCTCAAAAATCATATTCTGGGTTGAGTATTCTTCGTGAAGTCACATACTCGTAATAATCAATCAAAGGATTGGAAAGTCCAATAACAATTTCAAAGTTGACGTGAACTTTCCTAGTGAAGGTAAGAGTAGACTCTTTATTGACTTTTTGTCAATATATATATTTCTCAGATTATTTCATTCAATTCAAAGGATCCGAAGCCAAAGTCGGGTTGTTCAGATATTTACAAGTAGTTTCCGTTCAACACATCCACTCTCGATTTGTGTTGAAACTTATTTTCATCGAAATAGGCTCTCACATATCCTCAGCCAAGTTTTTAATACTTTATGCGACATCACAAGGAGTTTTTACTGTTAATTTCATTTTGGGAACCAATTCCTATTGAAAAATCAGTTGATTCTTTCGAAACTGTGATACTTTCAAGATATGCTGTTTGAAAATATCTACAGAGGAACTTTACTTCCCCCCTGTATGGTAAAATACATAGACGAAGTAGAATGTTATTGCTTTCTGTAGAAAACCCGAAAACAGCTTTTATAGTTCATTTCTGAGCAGAAAAAGACTGTTCAATTGTAAAAAGACATTTCTACTCAACAATTATTCTGCACTAGCTACAGTACCGTCAAAAAATCTAATCAAGATTGAAGTAAGAACAAATTATCAACCTAGTTTTGATAAAACCCCCAACAACTCGATAAATCTTGCTGATTATTTCTGAAACCACATGAAAATCCTTTAACTAATTCAAGGCCATCTCTTTCTGCATTTCCACCTTCAGAAACCAGATCACTTTGAATCGTCACTTTTAGTGTTTGTTCACGTAATGAGATGCGCTATATGAAGTGAAGTGAAATTGAATCCGAAGTAGACGGAAGTTTCACTGATATAACAAAGTCTCCTAATAAAACTATTCCACTGAATTTGAAAACTTTGCTTTCGTCTAATTTAATCGAATGGCGAAAGTATACTCCACTGTAGAAGTTTTATACTACTCTCAGATTGCGAGTTTGAAGTGCACACCTATTTGATGAAGAGTATTTTTTTCTCGATGGGTTCCTAGGGAATTATCGAATCCAATTTGATCCTGGAATATATAAGATGTTTGGAATCATAAAAATAAGTTTGACTGAGTGGAGGACGAATATGAAATACATACGTTGTGGAATAGGCCGCGATGGTAGTGCGCCCGACTCACGATCGGAAGGCTGTGGGTTCGATTCTCGCCTCGACTAGAGAGTTGTTCGTATGCGGGCGACAGCTGATTAACGGAAAAACAAATTTTGAACAGATTTTTCAAACAGAATCTGATTTGAGTCATTTCGAGGCAGTACTGTCTTCCGACTATTCCGATCGCTTCAGACGATAGTAACTTGTAAGTTTGTCGATTATGTCAAAAAAGTCAAGCTCCTGTCATCTTACAGTTGCTCTATTATCTTACTTTGAAAGATCTATGAATGAACCAATCCTGATAAATTTTGCTAGAAGTCAGAAACTCTTCGTGCAGTCCATGTATTTTGTGTTCATATGGCAAAGCTTAACGCGATGCTGATGACAGATTTTGCTTCATTTTCATTTTTTTCTAGGCTGATGTGGCCAAGAATTCAGATGATTCAGATAGAGAACATTTGCATGGTCTTCCTACTGATCAATTGAAAGAATAATAGAAGAATAATATTCTTAATTGATTCATACTAGTGATGGACTGTTTAGAACCTCCAGTATAGTAATGTGATGAATATTACTGGAGTTTTGTCCCAACACCAAACCGTTATTTTCAACACCTCGAAAGGTGTTCCAATCACCAAGTGATCATTTTCGGGAGGTAGATTTAATTTTTCTCTTACTTGGTGATCACTTGGTGCAAAGGTGTTGAGAGTGAAGGTTTAGAGTTGGATTTCATGTATGGAGCATGTAGATGACAAATATTTCCACATCAAATGTGGTCGCATAGGATCGTATGAAAAGTGAAGGTGTGAAACAACAGATACCTGCTCTCCTCTTTCCGGAAGATCAACTTCTCTCAATTGGGGGTTAGGCGAGTATAAAGTAGGTCATAGCAGACCAGCGGTCTCTCCAGAAATATATGGAGGGAAGAAAGGTCTCCTCTCCAGATATATGTGGAGGGAAGGTAGGTATAGAATGATTTTCATGGTACCTGACGTGGTGCAATTGGATATAGCGGGACAAGTCTGTCTCTGTTCACTTGAGCCGGCTACTGTAAAGTTTTTGGATACCAAATAATTGCTTCCTGTGTGGTCATTAATCAGAAAATGATCACATCATCACATATTTCCAAAAAATTGCTTTGGTTGCTCCAAACTCCAAGATTATTCAAAGATCTTTCGACATGTCCATAGGAATGCCGGGCTTTATGTAGAAAACTTTTCGAGTGATCAGTTCAGGTGAGCTATTCTTCGAGGATGATACCTAAATATCTTACTTCCTCTACAACTCAAATACCGGAAAAATGGAGTTGAATTATCCCTTTGATTGTAAAAGGAACACACAGACATCTGCTACCTATGGCACCAAATATAAACACCCCAAATTATTGTTGAGGATATTATAAGATATTTTTCCCTATGTGAACCTTGCCGAAATAACGAAGAATGCAGATAGGAGAATAGTACAGGACTTAGGAATTCAAGGGATTCTGAAAAATAAGTAGACTCAGCGCAGAATCGCATATGCTAGCGCATCATACCTGAATTACATTTATGAGAATATCATCTTTCAAAGCAAATCATTTTGAATTTTGCTGCCACACTGGAAATCTTCAAATTCAGTTTATGAAAAGTACTCACTTTCTTCAAAATAATGCGGCTTTCAAGTAGGAGCTAACTTTCCACTAAGTAGTCCTGGCTGTAGCAGGTTTCATCTGAAACAATGAAAAAATGTTGTAATAGTGATTTTTGTTTCGATTCGGAAATAGTAAAAATGTTCAATACACATTGAAGACATTTTCTGAATCATGTTCTATAGTATTCTACTATTCCGAAGGTGTTGAATTATTGATAAATAATGATTGGAATGACTTTTTGGTCCCGTTTGACCATTCCACTTTGAATAGTTCATAAGACACCAATACCGGGTGGCGAAAATTCAATCACGCTATATTGCTATCTTGGTAATGGTAGAAGATACGGTAGAAAATTAGACGAAAAAAGTACTTTTCAGAATGCAATGCAATTGTGTTCAGAAATCAAGACTATTTTGATCCATTCTCGAAATAATCGAAAAAAAAAATTAAATAGTTGATTTTTATTTTTCTGCTTTGGCATATTCATTGTATGAAGTATGAAAGAAAGGTATAGATATTCTTGATTCAACTTCATGAAGGCTACAATATGCACTAATTTTTTTTTCATACGACTTTTCGTTTTCTTACGGCCACTCTCATCCATTTTTTTTTCAATTACGGACTTTCATTTTGTACAGCAAACTCTGATGCCTCTTCCAATCCTATATTCATCAATTTATAGCATTCCAAACTTTTCTTGGCGTTTTATCAAAAAAACACTATTTTTGAACAAAAGTATTCAATTAACTCATTAACTAATTCCTGCATTACTGTGTAATGACAAAAATCTATAATGCGTAATCAAATCATTGATCATCCAGATGTATCATTCAGCGATAACTTACTCAAAAAACTTACTGAAAATCTCATGGAACAGTAATTACTTGAGACAGATCCAAAAAAAATGTTTGGGAAAACTTCATGAAATTAGTGAGATATTGTCGACGAAAGATGAGTCTATTATAATTATAATCGTCATGTATTGCCTAATAGTGAACTATGAGTGTACATTTTCCTGGAAATACGAGAGTATTTTGGTATCTCCGTGAGAAATCAAACAGTCCCATTCAGATTATTAGGTTCAGTGGAGTTTCAGTGGGAACCACAGCCAACAATTTTGGAAAAAAACTACGCCACTGACTAGTTGTAGTTTCTTATTTTGTAGAATGATAAACTAAGAATACAACTTTTTCGTCGCTTGTGTGATCTTCATATCTAGCTCCGAAACAACTCCGAACATATGTACATAGGAAATTTATTTCTTGAAAAGACCTAACGAGTCACCCTTTGAAATTTTATTCCGTACTTAGGAAACACCCTGTATATCTCTCTATTTGAAGAAGTATTCTGTGAATCAACATTGAATATCTTGAGAGATATAGGTTTTCTCGGGCAAATGGTTGTAGATCTCATAATTGAGTATTAGTGAATGAATATCTAATGAGAAATTCACCAATGAGATGAATGAAATCCAGAGAACCTGTGATATGGCCATCGAGGTTATCGAGTTTAACCTCTGAATAATTTTATGGGGTTATCTAAGAACATCTTTTATAATAGGGCTATTTCTGAAAATATTGAGGAGTTACAACAGAGGATTAGGGATGCTTTTTATATAGCTGATACGTCACATGTGTTTAAAAGAATTGTTAAATGTATTGTTCAAAGAGACGGGCATTTCAAATAATTTTTGCGGATGAAGTTTATTCTATTTGACATTGTTTGTAAAATGAAATCTATTTTTTCACAAAAAAAGTTGCAGTTTGCAACTCGAATGAAATATAAATCATTTCTTCTGGTTTTGTTTCTTCCTTCAGAAAATAATATGACGATATTATGACTTCAGTTTTGATTGCCTTTCTCATACTGGCCATCAACAAAATAAATATTTTATTGTTCAACATCAATTTTTTTCCACCATTCAGTCTCAAACATCGACGACTATGTATTGCGCTCTCAAACCTTAACAAACATCCAGTATCCGCTGATATTTTCTCTGGATGACATCAATTTGTTTGAATCAATTTCGAAAGCGAAATAGTTCTAGGTAACTCTAAACGCAGGCTTTGATGGAATACGTGAGCAGAATCTTCAAGGAACACGTTTCCGTCCGGGAAATTGCACAGCAGATTGATACTGTTAACGAATGATTGGCTAAAAATTTTTGAATTTGAAATCAAGAAATGAATTGGTAAATATTAAGTATTCCACTTTATATTGATTTTTTTCCATTTTCAGGTTAAATGATGGCCATGACATCTTCCATAACGAAAATGCCATCTATCCTATCTATCCGTGTTAGGAATCACACGTTAAAAGGTAAGACCTCGTTAGTACTTAGCTCGCACATGTTTCTCAACTTTTGAGAGTTGTCTTTCGTATGGGGGCAACAGCTGATTAACGGAAAAATATATTTTAAACAGAACAGAACAGGTGTGATCGTCAAAGAACAGCTCTTACTGCAAGACAATTAGTTGGAAACCAGATCGAGCAAAACGTGCTTCTGATTCAACAACAGATAACATCCCATGTCGAAGATGGGTCCTATGACTGACCGCCTTGGGGAGCCTCGGGATTGAGTTTTCCGTCGATCCCATAGATGGTGTCTCCGTAGAAAAAGATGTCATCGTCCTTATTTATTTATGCTTGTCTTTTGAAGACAATTGAGTCCAGCAGCCTGGCACCACCAATGAGGACCTATGGCGGGTTGAAACAGCGCTGCCTGTTGGATCACAAATGCGTTGTGTTTTGCACTATGGTTTTCAACAACATCCAGGGCACATCAACATTAGGTTACCAGAATGCAAGATTGTTAGTTGTATTTATAAAATAGCTTCAGCATTTCTTTCAGTTGGCATTTTTCTCTTTACTCTCTGAATTGTTTCTTCCCCTCTAGAGCCTGTTTTATATTATTTTGTAGTAAAGAACACAGATTCAAATAATATACAGTTTATGAAGTTATTGGCAATTTTCCAAAAGAGATTTCCATTGAATGATTTTCGGTGAATGTTCAATATCTGAATAAATAGTATTCTTCATGTGATTTATCCAGTAGAATAAATCACCATAGGAAAGTTGTTGGTGAACTGAAATATAAAACATTTGACAACAATATCTACTATCAGTGAGCAAGGAATAATAATTTCAGGCATTAACCGTTCCACAATCTATCAGAATTCTTTTTAATCATTCTAGAAAAAAAGAAAGGCATTCATGAACGGTTCTTCTAGGAAAGTAAAAAAAGAGTAATGTTTGTCCAGGACTACTCAGTGTCTATTTAGAGGAGATCGTAAAGTTTGCAGCGAAAAACAGGACATTGGATCATCTGAAGCAAGAAATGTATAGATAGTTCAAATCATGTTCAGGGGAGTATGACAAACGCCCAACAAAGAGAACTGAGAATAAGAAGTTTATAGAGATCAAATCGTCAGGTGCATTTATAAAATTAATATGGATCTTCATCAAGTAACGGCTGATACAATCAGAACAAAAAAATTGATTCTGAACAGATTGAATTATGATATACGATTCAACCCAAGCATGTTACATTTTCTAAAGAATATTGGGCAAAATTTTGAAAATTTCTTATAGTCTTTGGAGCTTCTTTCAGTTTTCAATCAGATTTTTTACTGGTGGCACCAATTTATGCAAAAGTATCTGTGCTGAGGTCCTTCATTCATATTATAGAATTTATTCAAGACAACTTCAGAAAATATTTCTTTGTTTTCGAAACGCTTTGTATGCCTGAATTTTCTTATATTCTCAGTAGCCTTATATTTCTTTCAAGTTGTAGTATGAACTGAGAACAGAGAAATTATGAATGAATCCCTAAAAAATTCATGGTATAAAATTTCGTTTTCCAATTACAACGTACACTTTTATCTGATCCTAGGAGATAATGAGAGAAAAGCGCTGGGCAGAGATAAACCTTTCAAACCCCTCGACGCAACAATAATTTGAAAGTGAACCCTCTGAAGTTAGGGAGTGACTACTGATCCCGCTGAACGGTCGACGGTATTTTGACATACTATTTTGCTTTGAAAAGGGTATTGCAATCTTTGACAGAGAATGAGGCTATTACACAGATATGGTCATGGATATTGCAAGAAGATGTTAATTTCACCATGTCTCATGTCTATTTCATGCATTAAGGATGAATCATGCCATTTCTGTATTTCTGTTGATCAATTGAGAAATCAACAAACTATGAGATCTCGTGGCCCAATACTCTGTACTGCAGGATTATCTTCAGGGAAAAATATACTCTAATATTTCATACTTTGGTTTTATTTTACAAAAAAGTCCGATTATATTTTATTTTCAGATACTGAAGGAGATGATACGGAAGACTGAATTCTTTCTAATTCAATCAAAAATTAAAAATCTTCGGATTTAATTTATTTTGGTAGATATTTCTGAATATCTAGAAGACGAACGAGATACTAGATAGGTCAATCAAATTCTAAGTTTATTTCATCGACTTATTCATTTATTACCATCAAGTTAGGCAATGAGTTGCATTTTTCGAAAAAAAACTCTAAAATCTCATCTGTCGAATGATTTTTTTCATTTAATTTCAATTATTTTCATCCAAACTGCCGAATATTACTCCAGGATATTATGATCTATCGACACTTCTTTCATTGATCTCCTTCAATTACTTACTGACTCTTTTTTGTTAACGAAAATAAAAACAGGATGAACATTGACGAAACAAAACAAATTAATAACCATAAAAGTAAAATAGTAGAGAATTGAATGACATAATTTTTTACACAAATAATTCACACAGAGAAAACGAAATTGAAAAACCCATTGATGAAATATTACTTCAACTTGATTATATCTTTAAACGTACACAAACTTTTATAAAGTGAAGAAATTATCCATTAGTTGTACTTATACAGTACAGTTGGCGATAGTCTTTCAGTAAATGGAGGATTTAGAAGCTGAATATGCCGAAATACTTAAAGAATATTCTGTTTTCAAAAAACATTTAGCAAGTACATAGAAATTGAAAAAATTAAGACATTCCATTTCTGGTCTAGAATACCCCTACTACAGTTTGAGAATGTAGC